GCCGATTACTCCCCTCCTTACCAGCCTTGAAGGTCCCAGGCACCGCGCCAACCAGATGGTGATGATCACAGAATGGAGAAGTGTAACAGCATGCAGACCACTGTCTACAAAATCAAGCAGTTGCAAGCCCTAAGTGGGAACTTGGCCTGCAACTGCTGCCAGACAGTGAGACTCGTGATCCTTCGGTGGCCAGGGACACCTCCACCGACCTCTGCTTCCTCCGAGGACTGAATGAATGACTCTTATTCTTTTATGCATTTTTTGAGTCTAGATAATGATTATTATATTGATACGGCAAGCCAAGTATTAAGTTTTGACATGATGTGCAGAGGGTCCAAGTAATTAAAAACCATAAGCTAAGCTGTGCTATAAAATTCAGTGCTACACTATTACTTATAAAATTGCGCTACACTGATTCTGCTTGTAGAAATCCTATTCTGATCATTAATTCTATGCTATGCTATGCTAATCATAAAATCCTGTTAAAAAGAAAAGCTTTAATTGTAACTACAACTTAGTGCCGTCATCATTCTGCCAAGGATCCCCAAAAGAACCGGTCTGTCCCCTTTGTGTCGGGTGACAGAGACACAACATGTTTTACCAGCACATATATTACATTGTTCTTTAATTATAGTAGACTTTCTAGTTTTCTCTTACCACCCTTCTTTCAAAAAAATTCCCAAAAGTCATGCTTTAGGTAGGTCAGGCTTAAGGCAGACAATAGGATGTCGAAAAATAACAACAAACGTTCACATCTCTACTTGGCACAGACAGAAGGATAAGGGAATTTGCAGTATACTGCTACAGATGTCAGATAAACACTATGTTAGCACATGCTATACCTCAAACGCTACACCTATGGTACTATGCAAAACAGGGCAAACCCTCTGGGCCAGATATCAGCATCCCTCTTGGTAGAGCCACATTCACATCATGTAACTTGTAGCCTGGCCCCACCCCATGTCCCTAACACATGGTTGATCTTTTCTTTTCTGCATAACTTTTAGTTCAAAGTGTCTGAAATAATGTTTCCTGTGCTACATCCCATCAGAGCAGATTTTTTATTTAACACTGAGGTGAGGGATGGAAGTAATTAGGGCTGTTTGAAGGTACAAAACTCTCTGAAATAGTATTAAAGGTCTGTGTAGCAGGAAGGGATAGAAATCTCACAAAATTCTTCCACCTTTCGGGAGCAGTCCTTGGTGCATACTATCCCCCGAATCACAGAATGGTTTGGGTTGGAAGGGACCTTAAAGTCATTGAGTTCCAACCCCCCTGCCATGGACAGGGACACCTCCCACCAGCCCAGGTTGCTCAAAGCCCCATCCAGCCTGGCCTTGAACACCTCCAGGGAAGGGGCACGTACCACCTCTCTGGGAAACTTGTGCCAGTGCCTCACCACCCTCATAGTGAAGAATTTCTTCTTTAAAACTAATCTAAATCTACCCTCTCTCAGTTTGAAGCCATTACCCCTTGTCCTATCACTGCATGCCCCTGTCAAAGGTCCCTCTCCAGCCTTCCTTTGGTCCCCCTTTAGGTACCAGAAGGCTCTATAAGGTCTCCCTGGAGCCTTCTCTTCTCCAGGCTGAACAAGCCCAACCCTCTCAGCCTGTCCTCATAGGAGAGGTGCTCTAACCTGCCAGGGTGCTGCTCTGGGGAGCGGTGGTTGGTACGTGCCAAAGCCATGCTGGAGACCGTGCTGCCTGTGAACGCGTGTGGATGACCTGTGGTCCAGCACTCAAAAGTCACTCCCTTCCCCCATTTTATTGACTAAGACAGCGTAACTGACATCTGCTCGGCATGAAATACTGAAGCGCAACGCAAAGTTAACGCAAAGGACTTGTGGAACTACAAGCGGGGCAGCTCATGACACTGCTCGTTACTGGTGTACCTTTTTGGTAATGTCTTCTCCTGCCGCGTCTGGGTGGCCCGT